TATGAGAAAGATGATGAGTCAATCTCTGAGGGTAAGGAAGGGGTTGAATTTGAAAATTGCAACGAAACGACTGATTCCCCGCTAGTACTTTCATTTCCTCAAGCCATGACCAAATAAAGAAAAGTCAATCATAACTTTAAAATCTTTAAAATTTTCAAACAGGTAAGGATCAATATACCTTTGCTAGATGCTATTAAACATGATCCTTCTTATACTAAATTTTTAAAAGATTTGTGCACTATGAAGAGAAAATTGAATATGAAAAAGAAAGTCTTTTTACCCGAACAAGTAAGTGTCATTCTTTAGAACAATAATACTTTGAAATATAAAGACCCTAGTTGTCTTATAATTTCTTGCTTTATTAAAGAACACAAAATTGAAAGTGTCTTGATCTTGGAGCTAGTATAAATTAACTTCCATATTCAATCTTTTAAAGTCTTAATCTAAGTAAGTTTCTGAACAAAGTAAAGAACTTTTATTAGGATGACCCTAACTTATTCAAATATTATCTTGATCAAATATTTAAAGATGCATTCTTGACAATGAGCTAAGTAGTGTCAATAAACTTTGTCATTCTGAAGCATGTGGGAGTCATTTTTCATAAAAAAATAGTTGCGATAATCTTTCAAAATGGACTTTATTAGGCCACTATGTTCAAGGACACGCATGTATTCTGCAAAACTTGTGATAATTGTCAAAAAGTTGATACTAGTCAAAAAGTTTTGCTATATAATTCTTCTTCTTTATTATTATTGTTGTTGTTGTTGTCTATAATTTATACAATTATCCTCCTTCTAGTTCGACCCCGGTCTTGTCGGGTTATTTATTACTTCGACACTCCTGCATTTGAGAGAAGACATCAATCTTTTAGTCATGTTAGTAAGTGGAGACAATAATAATTAAAATTAACTATTTTGAGAGACTTCTTATAGTTATGGTGTTATTAGTCTTTGATTTTACTTATAAAAAACTCCATTATCATTCGCTTTTTATGTAGTCTTCTTTATTTAGCTTATATATATTTATATAAACAAAAAAGTTAAACTAGGATGGTATTTCACTATAGTTCCCTCATGATAAATGAAAATCTTGAGATTTTGCTAAAACTAGATGGTGTTTCATTGTAGCTCCTTTATTCTAGAAATGATAATCTTGAATTTTTTCTAATATTTAGATTTTCTTTTCTTTAATTACAAGGCTGACAAAGTACCATAACTTTTTCTTTTATTGACATTTTTTCTACAATGTGTTTTGTCTTTCTCTTCTTTTTTCTTAACTCATGTTTGATTGAAAGTTTTATGATCTCCATTGTTTTTTCTTTTTAGCCATCATCATCATCTTAAGGATTCCAAAAAAAAAAACACGCAGATTAAAAGTTAAATGAGATTATTAGTATATTATTGTGTGTGTCTTACAAAGAGAGAAATTATCAATACGTTGTTGTTGTTGTTGTTGAATGATCATCACATTCTATTAATTCTTTG